TCATTTAATATACATAAAAATACATAAACATCTATATATGAAAACTAAAAAATACATAACTACGTAAAAATACATATAAATACATAATACATAAAAAACACATAAAAACACACAAAAAATATGTAAAATACTTTAAAAAAATACATATAAATACGTAAAACAATACGTCTATACATTTAAAATACATAAATATAGAAAATCATCTATATAAAACACTTAAAAAATACATAAATACGTAATACATCAAAAATATGTAAAATACTTAAAAATAGATATAAATACGTAAAAAATACGTTTATACATTTAAAATACATAAACATCTATATAAAAAGCTTTAAAAAGTACTTAAATACGTAAAAATACATAGAATTACATCTAAATACACAATACATAAAAAACACATAAAAATACATAAAAAAATATGTAAAATGGTTTAAAATACATATAAATAAGTAAAAAAATATGTTTATATATTTAAAATACATAAAAATACGTAAATGTATACATATAAAAACATAAAAAATACACAAATACGTAAAAATAAATATAGATATGTAAAAAATATGTTTATACATTATATAAAAATTTTGACGAAATTTGCAAAAAAGTCCCATTATTTTCGATAAATTAACAATTTGGTCTCATAACCTGCTGAACAGGTCAAAAAGGGCTAAAGTGAATAAATTAGCCGGTTTCTTGGGCTTTTTTATTCAAAAGGTGAAAATGTCAGGACTTTTTTATTCAAAAAATAAAATTTAGAACTTTATTAACAATTTGCCCAAAATATTAAGACTTTTATGAAGATATTCCTTTTTTTAAGACTAGACTAGAAGCGAGAAAAAATACCAACATAAATAAGCAAATTTGGTTAGGTAGGGTGTGATGATTTTTCGAATTTATATTTCTATTGATAATTTCTGCACATCCCTATCAGGATATTGAAATTTGTATTTATAGAAAGGTATAATGAATACATTAATTTTAAAATATATGTTATAAAATGAGTAAAGATACATTTTAATAAACAATTTACCTACCCTTTTATTTACCTAAGTATACAGAAAGAATTACATAAATTATGACACTATGATATATATATATATATATATATATATATATATATATATATATATATATATATATATATATATATATATATTGCTGATCACATCATCATAAAATGAAAAAGAAAGCCTCGTAAACTAAAATATGTCTCTATGTTACTTTTGAACCAATACTATTGAATCAACATTATAAGTTCCATTTTGTTATTTTTTGATCGAACTTGTAATTAATATTTTTTTCGAACATCTCTAGATCTTTTTTTTTATGAACATCTCTAGATCTATCATCATCTAAGACAAGTTGTAACGATGATAATCAACTCGAAATTAAGTTTGAACAATAATATTAATTCTACAAGCAAACTCTTAAATTTTACAGAATAAAAAAAGAAAAAGAAAATAAGAATATTTACAGTTAATGGCTTAGTGGATGGAGGAGTCTTAGTTTCTTACCGACCCAAGCTAAGGGCTGCTTTGACGTCCAATCGCCATGCGCAGGCACCACGCTCCATCCTCCAAACGTCACACGGCAGCGTTCGCGTCGGAGACGCCGGTGAAGGAGTTGTGCCGTTACAGTAAGTGGCGACGGCGGCGGTTATCGTCACCTTGCAGGTGAAAGTTGGGTATCTTACCGGCGATGGCATCCAATTATTCTTCCTCACCAACACCACCGACATGTCCTCTCCGCTGATCACGTCTCCAACTCCGACCATCAGTCTGAACGCCTTGTTAGACCACACCACCCTATCTTGGCCGTCCGATATGAACCCAGGACACGTGTCCCTCTCCATGTTCATGACCCTTTCCTTGTCCGTACAGTAGTCTATCCCTAATCCGTCTACCCAACTCTCTCTCACGCATTCCACTGTCACGTATGACACCACTTGCAGTCGTTGAGGTGGCGGTGGCGGTGGAGGTCTCACTACAACTGGATCAAACCCTACCTTTTGCTCCTTGCTGTCAAAGCTCAACCAGACAGGCGCCGGTGCTGATTTTTTGTTGTTATTGCACTTACACTTCTTTATCTGGGTTGACGATAACAGATCTGCAAAACCTGTAACCTGTGAGTTCTCTTTCCGATCTGGAGTCTCCGGCAACAAAGAAAGCGTCACAACCGTATCTTCTGTAGTAGACGGAGGCGGTGGACATAACGACGTCGTCGCCTTTTTGTTTTCACTATTGCCTCTCTTCGAATTACCATTCTTCTTTTTGTTCCCGTTAGCCCTAACATACTTTCTCTTACCTCTTCCACACTTAACATACCCATCGCTAGTCTCCGTCGTGGAACCACCGGAACCTGGCCCAGCAGCCACCGGTTTAGGCGCGATCGGCCTGTACTTTAGCATTATCCTCTCCACCTTCGACATGCCGTACATCCCACCACATCCACCTCGTCTCGCATGCCTTGCAATACAACAACCACCTATACCGTTCATTTCCCAGTCAGAATTACAGCAACCACCACCTTCTCCGGCGAGTATTTTCAGAATTTGTTTTAACGCAGCTGGTGATTGCTGGAGGATAGACTAGGTGAACATAAATAAAGAAAGAGAGGGGCCACGTGTGACGACAAATACTGGACAACGGAAGAGAAGTGATTGGTGGAAAACCTAAACGTGGCGTAGGGGCCCACATGCCAATGGAGGGTGATTGAAGGAGAGCCAATCAGGTGAGGAGAGGTGTATAGTAGAATCCATGGTTGGAAGGGCACGTAAGGTATTTACACCTCGTGGTTCGTGGTCGTGGTCGTGGTCGTGATGTTTGGGCCTTTGGGGTTTCCTGATAAAGTAAGTTGAGAGGATTTAAAAGTTTCCAGAATAGAGGGACACGTGCTCCAACCAAAAACTTGGTTCGAATTGCATCTAGGGTTTCTCCCTGCTTTTGTTCGATTATTCATTTATTTGGGACCTTCCAAATCGACGGCTCCTCTTCAACCTCCTTTTCACCCTTTTGTCCATGGGATGAAAGCCTAATTTTTAATCTATATAGCTTGTTTGGTTAATGTAAATTTAAGGTAAAGAAGAATATGTGGATGTTTCATTTGAAACTGGCTATTTGCTGAAACAAGTGTACGTGTTTTTTATTATATATTTTAGAGTTAAAAAAATATGAAAAGAATATATGTTTTTTTATTTAATACTGTATATTCTTGGCTGTTAAAAAAATACAAAAGTGTTATCATTTATGGTAAAATACTGGAGAAAAAAGGACCCCGCGTTGAACGATAACTTTTTTTTTTAACGGCAAATAAATATAAATTTTTTTTGTCTGCTATTGAACTCAGGACATTCTAGTTAGTAGTTAGATTAAAACATCTATGTTAGCTAAATGGGCTAGCCCTAACTTGCGTTGAACGATAACTTGATCAAATAATATGCTAAATGAGACTTTCTCGACACGAAATTAACTAACCCGCAAGGCTGAGGGGTGTGGTAGTGTTTTCACCGCCGGCAATTCTATATAGCAGCCTTTACCGACAGTGAACACCGTCCCGCACCCATAACTTTACTGGTGGTATAATGTCAATGGTATGTTTCCGCCCTCGGTGAAACTATTATTTTGTCTTTCTCTCTCTACCCTCTCTCTCTTCTTTACCTCCGCTGAAAACCACAACACCACACACTTAATCTTTTTTTAAAAATGGTAAAAATTATAAATATGTCACTATCAACCTATGTGTCACATATTAGTATCTGTATGATACCCTTTAGCCTAATGGGTTATACAAGTACTTATAAATCCAAAAACTGATTCATTAATTATAGTTGTATGCTCCAAAATGATATTAACATTTTGTTATCATCTCTTATATATATATTTTTTTTGAGGTCGAGGGTTCAAGTCATATATATAGATGAATGACTAGTTTACAAATAGGTTAGATTCAACAAAAATAAAAATAAAAATAAATAAGAACTACACTATAATATTCTAAGTAACTCAATATGTTAAATTATTTTCTAATTAAACAATTTTTTATGGTGGAATTTGGTTTCAATAACTATAGGGGAAAATTATACTATAGCAAACAAATTTTTTTCTTTTGTCCTGAATTGTCGTGCAATAGACCATTAAAGTTTAATTTGACCTGTTAAATAGGAGTTGACCCAAAAAACTATCGGTTAGGCTAAAGGAGTGGAGGTGTCAAGGGAGGTGTTAAGGAAAGTGCTAAAGGTGTTACATCACTCCCTACCTTATGTTAACGAGGGTGCTAAGAAAGAGATGTCATGGATGTAGCGAGAGGAGAGAAGAGAGAGAAAGCATGAAGGTGTGTTGTGATTGGTTGATTTGTATTTCTTTATATATTTTAATTTTTTTTCTCCACAATTAAACCTATTAAATTGTCACGCTTCCACTCCCTACCTTTTTTGTGCTAGACATGCTAAGCCTATGTGTCATGAAAAAAACTTAAAAATCCTATGTGACAACATGCTAAGAGTGTTACCACTCCCTTTAGCCTTACCACTTGGTTGGCACAGTCACATGGAGATGTAGAGGCCACTTCATAGCCATCTCTCTCTTTCTCTCTCTCTCTCTCTCTCTCTCTCTCTCTCTCTCTCTCTCTCTCTCTCCCTCCTAGATATGATAATTCTTATTTCTTTTTCTTTTTAATTTTTAAAATAAAAAAGAATCAATAAACCTACCTAATTCATCACGCCTCCTTTTTTCTCTGATGTCGTCGTCTTTTTCTTTTTTGATGTGCTAGCATGCGATCATTAAATCCATGATGGAAAAACGGGGAAGAAGATGGATGCTTCAACCAACATAAAGATCAATAGGGAGAGGTAACCCGACGATGGGGGTTCTAATGCTAAAGAGAGCAAGTGGGGCTGTGATGACGACCCAAGGAGGCGCTGGAGATGGTTGTATAGAGGCCTACGACATCGATCGATATATAGGAACTTCACATAGCCACGATGTTTCTAATTAGTGATATATGTTGAAATTATTAACTAGTTAGTCATGAATGTTGCCTCTTCTTCTTCATCATTCTGTTTGTGATTTTTTATTGAAGTATTATTCATGATTTTCGATTTCATATTTGAGTTTTTGTTTTTTGTCGAGGGGTAATTTTTTTATTATTTATGATTTCAGATTTTCAATTTTGTTTATAGTTTGAGTTTTGTTTCTAAACTTCATTTTTTGGCAACGGGTTCAAGATCAAGCATGAAAATCAAGCGAGGTGAGTGGACAGGAGGTTGAGAATGGAAGTAGATGAAGAAGGGAATGGGCGGAGTTCTACAAGTTCAATTTCTTCGATCTATGGTATGAACATTGTTTCTATAGGTTCGATTTCTTAAGATTCGGAAAGTGGAAGAAGGTAGTGGAAAGCATATGATGGTTGTGGTGGTGGTGGTGGGAGGTAGGAGGTGGAAACTAGTCTCTGAACACTTGGTGTTCATAATGTTCATTAGTTGAAGAACAAATGAAGCTTAGTGTTCATGGGTTTTGGCTGACTTTCTTCAATATTAGTTAGACAATGTTAGTTTCCAACATGGCTGAACACACATGCCCAGGTTTATTGCCACATAAGAATTGTCACCGGATGACTGCTTCAGAACTTTGTTTCCTGAAACCTAATTAAGTTCGCCCATAAATTCAAGATTTTTTGGTTTTGTTAACATAAAATGATTTCGCACAACAAATGCATTTTTCAAACTGTTTGTGAAACATTATTTTTCAAATAAATGATTTCACAAAAAAAATCTTTCGCAAAAAAGGTTAATATTTACATTATAATAAATATTATGATCAGTTTCTAATACTCGATAGTAAAATCACTATACAACCTCTTACTTTTTCTTAGTTCTATGATTTTCCTCTTTATATAGTTTTTTTGGAACTGGAAAATAATTATATAAATAAACCCCCCTCCCCCGATAAGCATGTACCTAGATGAGACATAAGAGAAACATGAACAAAGTTTACAAGTTATCAGATCTAAATGGAAGCATCAACACACCATGCAATCCAGTTATAGGAACATTTTGACCTTCGATGTTTAATCTAAGTGAACAGTAAGGATTTTACATTATCCGACACTTTTGTTAGAGGGAGGGGTCCAGATTTTCTTTAACAATCGATCATATCTTGCTTTTCAAATCAACCATATGGTGCTGTAACAAATGCTAATGAGGGATTTCCTTTTTTTAACAAAGTTTCCCCACCTTGAGGCAAAGTCCATCAGATCACCAACATTTACAACATGTGGGAAAGACAAATTACATCATTTAAAAATCCACTCCCATGCAAACTGTAGTTGCAAAAGGCCAGCGAAACAAAATATCCTCAACATCTTCCTCCTTCAATGAACAATAGCCACATATCTGGGACTCAATGGGGATACTCCTAAGTCGAAGTGCACATGCAATTAGGATTCAACCAAGGTTTGATATCCATATGAAGCAAGCAACCTTGATCGGAACATCATGGGTCTAGACGATCAGTTTTTCCATATGTGTAGATGTAGGGCAATCGATCTGGTTCCTGAGGGCATCCACATAGTACTTACCATCACTAGATAAAGCACATGTACACTAGTCACATCTCTAGATTGGTTGGAATGAATGAATTAGCAAAGACAAGATGTTGAACTCACTGACCTAATCAGTAGAGGTTGGAGGCATCTTCCACTCCCAAGTCACGTTACCAACATGGATTTTATATGTGATCTTACAACTTTTTCTTCTCTCCAATTTATATTGCTCCGGGAATTTAACTTTCAAAGGGTCAGTTCTAATCCAGTAGTCTAACCAAAATAATGTGTCATTCCCCAAGCGAACCTGTTTTGAGAATACTTAACTGATATTAATACCAAATTTAAGTAAATCATCCTTTGCCCCTTCTATATTAATCCAAACACTAGGCATCGATTTTTTGGCCATACACCCACATGGTTTGTTGAAAAGGTTATGTATACCTTTTATGACATTACTCCAAAGTGAATGTCTATTAGATATCAACAACAACCACCATTTCACAATTAGTGCTAGATTGAGGGGTCTTAGTGAACCAACACTAAGACCGCCCTTATCCTTGGGAGCCACCACCTTCGACTATGAGACCTAATTGATTTTGTTTTTATTATATCCACCCCAAAATAACCTCCTGTGAATTTTCTCAAGAGTATTGATTAATCCAATCGGGCCATGAATAATGAAAAATAGTAGGTTGGTAGATTGTCGAGGACAACCTTGAGGAGAGTAAGTCTTCCACTGAATGATGGGATTTTTTCTTTCCAATCCGATAGCTTTGCTTGAAACGTATCGGTTACAGGTTTCCAATGCTTCTTTATGTTCATGTTTGCACCCACTGGTCCCACAAGGTATATGAAAGGTAAAGCTGCTAGTACACACCCAAGAGGTGATACCCACCGAGTGACTTCTTGTGGAGGTGACCTAATGCCAAAGAATCGAGATTTATGGAAATTCACTTT